TTTGTGGTTGATATGCTTTATGCAATGTGAAAATGTGTTTTAGGAAATATTGAAGACATGGGAATTTGATATGAGAGCTACATTATATTGAATACTTAATCAAGCAATTTGATTGTGTGTGATTTAAAGTTCCAAACTTTGATCATGAATATGTGAGGACTTTATTTTGGCTATCATTGTATACTCAGCTGAGCCATTCCTTCTACCTCATTCTTTCATCTCTTGCTTTCTTTTTCTTTTCTTATTTTTTTACTTTCTTTTTTTTAACAAAATCGGAAAGATAGAAATCCATGTAATCTGAAAGCCTTGCCTAAAATTCTTTATTTTTGTCTGAATCTATGAATTTTTATTTTTGTGAAACCTTTAGAACTACAACCTATGATATATTATTGAAAACCTTACAAACTCAAATACTTATGTGTTCAATTAAAATTGGCCTCTTCAATGTTGGGCCATTCAAAGTTGGATTCAAAACCATACCCTGCAACATGAGGTTGTCCAACTAGTTTAATAATAAATGTGGCAACAACAACATACTCCATATATAACTCACTGATCCTTTGTGTGGCCATTGAACATTTTCTTGAATTGTGCCAATGTTATGACCACAAGTATCTAGTGTTTGACATCATCCACCCATTGAAAATATGCATATCTCCAACTTTTCACAAAATCAAAGTTCCCACGATTCCCCAGAATCTAGTTGCAAAGCCTGACATCACAATAATGTAAAACCACATTCTTTTAAGTGCACCCTCATCGTTGTCCTTGAAGTTGGCAGTTGTCGGAGGCAGAGCATCATTTGAGCATTTCTTCTGGATTGAAACTCCACAGAGTCAAGGATTGGCAGCGTAAATGGTTGGATCTTCAAGTGTTTGGTGCTGATAAGCTGTTGGAATTGGCCTTGACAAGTTATTGTAGAATAAGTTGAGGTGACTTAACTTGGTTAAATCTGATATGCTCTTTGGGATCATTCCTGAGAGGTTATTCTTGGAAAAATCAAGAGATTCTGAATTCTCCATTTGTCCAAGTTTCTTAGGGATCTTTCTTGAGAGATGATTCCAAGATAGATTCAAATTGTGTAAATCCTTAAGGAAAATTAGCTCCTCTGGTATGGATCCTATTAGATTATTACTTGAAAGATCTATACTACTCTCGAGTCCTAGGGTTTTCTTTGTATACTCAAGGTATCTCCCTTTCACAACCTCCAACAAATGCGCATAATACCAATATGTTGCATTCATGTTGTCGATCAATGGTGTTGCATTCATCATACTTGGAAACTTTCCAAAACAAGGAGGAATCCTTCCTGTCAGATTGTTATCTGCAAGATCCAAAATTTGCAATTGAGAGAAAGAGCATAGTTCCAAAGGAATATAACTAAAAACCAAATTTTTTCACAATCGAAGAACCTTTAAAGAGTGGCTACCAATGTCACCCCCTACAATGCTTGTTAAATTTCCAACAATTTTATTTTCACCCAAATCCAAAACCACCAAAGAAGCGAAGTTTTTCAAGGCCACAAGTAGTTCCTTATGGAGACTATTGTTATTCAAGTGCAGTACAAATAAAGAAGAAAGCTACCCCATTGTGCTTGGAAATAAACCTGAGAGATTGTTAGAAGGTAGATCAATATAATTGAATGATTGATCATTTATCTAACAATTAGGAATACTTCCAGATAACATATTGTTTAAGAGATCAAGTTCCGCCAAATATTTTAAATTGCATAGTGACATTGGGATTGAACCGTACATGAGGTTATTTACAAGATATAATCCTTGCAACATTGGCAACATATGACTGATGTTTTTTGGAAGGGGACCTGAGATGCTAGCATTAGAGAGATCAGTGACGATGTTGGTCTTTTGCAATTCAAGTCATTTAGGAAATCTTGTTCCAAATTGATTGCTAGAAAGATCTATGATCTCTAACTTTGAAAGTTGCCCGATACTATTTGGAATACTACCACTTCATTGATTGTTAGAAAAATCTATCATCTCTAACTTAGAAACTTGCCCGATCCTATTTGGAATGTTGCCACTCAATTGATTACTAGAAGGATCTATCATCTCTAACTTAGAAAGTTGTCTGATGCTGTTCGTAATACTACCACTCAATTGATTGCCATAAAGATCTATGCCATTTAACTTAGAAAGTTGTCCAATGCTATATGGAATTCTGCCACTCCATTGATTGTGAGAAAAAGATATACTCTCTAACTCAAAAAGTTGCCCGATGCTATTTGGAATATTGCTAGTCAATTGATTACCAGAAAGATATATGCGCTCTAACTTAGAAAGTTGTCCAATGCTATCTGGAATACTACTATTCAATTGATTGTTAGAAAGATCTATACTCTCTAACTTAGAAAGTTGCTCAATGCAATATGGAATATTGCCATTCAATTAATTGTCAGAAAGATCTATGATCTTTAACTTAGAAAGTTGCCTGATGCTATTTGGAATACTGCCACTCAACTGATTATAATTTAGATAAAGAAACATCAAGGAAGTCATGTTTCGGAGAAATATAGGTATTGGACCCTGGAAAAAGTTTTGTGAAAGATCTAAGTATTGAATATTGCCAAGCCATGTAAAATTAAGGGGATGGTTGCAAGATGGCAACTAAAAATTTTTGAGACTACAACTTGACAGACTTAACCATGATAGTGAAGGAAGCATACCAAGTACTTGAAACAAGTTTGATGTTGCAAGGCTTAGATTTACTCCATTCATATCAAGAAATGTCA